CATCTCCTCAATTTCTTTCCAACCTTAGACCACTGAACCTCTCCATTTTCTTTCAACTTTCCTTTCTTCTCCTATTCTTCATCCCAATGGGCAGCCAAAAGATAGCAACCAAAACCGGCGCACGAAAGTGCATGGTTAATGGTTGTTTAAACTGAAAAAACCTTATGACTTAAGACTTATGGCGAAAGATTACAGCTACTGGGGCCATACTCGTCTCAATATAATCAAATTAGAGGCGATATGATCTTACTGTATCGGATCTTCTAACAGTCCAACCGTCCATTTAGATCTTTTGGTTCTATCAACCAACGTTCATCTTAGAGAGCATCCACTGAAGTTGCAACTTCAAAAGAGCCGTCTCGACTGCATGCGCCATTCATTTGCAGTCAGAGTGTGCAGCAAATGGAACTCTCTACCACCTCACGTGGTCTGTGCGCCAACATTAGTATCTTTCAAGCGTAAGCTTGATGATGCTCTGACAAACATCGTTTCAACACCCAGCCACATAATAAATTCTCCTGTGCTCGTCAAAAACTTTANCTTTCATGGACTAACTGTGATCTTGTGAATCGTGTTCCGAACCGAAGTGTAAACACCCTATGGAATTTGATAAGCGAAGTCTTTTTAAGGTTTTTCCCATAATAAAAATTTGAATCACTCATTTAAAAGCATGAATCAAATGATTGCACTAAATGTTTAATGCAGATCAATAGATTTTAATAAAATTTCACGAATGCGTCATCATGTCCTAGTGCATGCACTGGGATCGAAGTAAGAAAGGTTATTGGAGGAGACTTTCCAATCAGACTGGGGAACAAGCAGCCGACATAAGACACTCAAACCCCGCGGAACACCGTCCACGTGATACAAAATAACTGAACCCCTTCGTTGTCTTGTTGGGTAAGCATGAATGTGAACCCATATAACAGAGATCTGAGCACATACGCATGCAACTTTACCAAAGAGGAGTATTAGCTATTACAAATATGATTATGCATGTGTGGTGCAGCTACTGAATTCGCGGGTCCGCGGTAGTACGTACACCTTGTGCCAGATACGATCTCAGTGAAATCGACACACTCAGACTTCTGGATTACTATTCGCCGTTACTGTCTCATTTTACCGAATGTGTTGTCGCGCACAGAGGATCGTGAGAGTGGAAGTATGGAAATGCAATTTGAATCATCTGTTGTAGCTGCAAACCAGAAAACCTTTAATATCAAAAAACGATTTTCCTAGAAGCAAAACAACAACAGTAATGGTGTCCACCTCTCCACGGTGAGCAGTTTGTATCAGTTGATTAGCGAACAATGTCCGCATGTTTCAGGAGTGTAGGCCATCGACTTGACGGGTGAGGCGAGCCCGAACCCAATAAATAGGCAATTCCCAATGTGATTAGAAGTACTGCTTAAAGATGCCTCAGGTTTTGTCTCGATTAACGCTTTATGATATAAAAAGCATATTGTCAGCCCACCACTATCTCTTGCTGGGTTTCATCAACCGGGTATGACATTCCGGAAGTGACAGATGAACCGCATCCACTGGTTTGTTCGCAATAAACCCGTTGTTCTTGGGCGCCATTGCGAACAAAACGGTCGGATAAGATGCAGTCAGCTTAATACATACTCTAGATCAAGCTACCGGAAAGTAAAACAGCCTTGTATGTTGTTGGTGACAACGGTTTTTACCATATTCTCAAGAACCTCTATAGAAATAAATTGTATGTTCTCATCACGCTGTGATGCCAAATATGTATACGGAGTAGAGTAGTCTTCTCATACAGGACGAACACGTTAAATTATGTAATATGATTTGAGTAAGAATTTCCGTTCAGCGATTCAGTTTTCTCTCTTTCCTCCTCAAGAGGACCTACCTCATTCTCAACGCAAGCATCGATAATCGTGTCTCGATGATCAAGAATAAACCGGCTGCGGACAGATTTTCGTTGTGATGTTCACTTGGATACAATTGTCCCCATCTGTTGCACTTTCAACGCACAAACCCAGCCAATTTTGTGACTACCTCATGTACTCATTCGGTTGATGCAAGCAGCACCGGACGAGTATGTGGGGAATGAGAACGCACATAAAGCGGGACTACACATCTTGTTTTTTTTTTCTTCTCAAGTTTAGACGTTTCAATCGATTCACATTTAAACGAGAATATCTAATGGGGCTTGTCGAATTGTCCACAGTCGGAGCGCCACAGTCCAATAGATATCTTTCTCTCTCAGCCTCGGGTGTGTGCTTGGCGCATGGGGATAAGACGAAAAGATGGGAGTACAAGCACAAACATACATGCATGTGAAGAAAAGAATGTGTAAAAGACACGACACAATGGATTGGAAGGCGAGGAGCCCTGGTAACCAATTGCGACTGAACATGCTCATGAAACTGGACAGAAATGAGATGAAAGGCTCTGGAAACACGTGACGCGTCGGACACACTAAAGAGACGAGGGGGAGGAGGCAATAGGTAGGCTTTAAGAGGACTGCTTTTTTTTGAAGACACAAATCCGAAAAGAATAATGACTAACACCTTGAAGTGAAACGAAATACTATCTTTAGAGACAGATAAAAGATGGGCATTAGTCAGGTGACAGTGCGTTCTTCAAATAGAGCGATATTTCCATCAAGTGCATTGCCTTGTGTCCAGCGGCCGTAGAAGCACTAGGTTGACGACCGACATAGCTGTGAGAAAGAAAAACAATGATGTTAGGTAGGTATACCAGATAAGAAAATGAACTGGAGAGCGAGGACAAAAAATATATACATCGGACGAATAGTGTGTTGCGATACTAGCCTGAAGAAACGCATGATGTTGATCATGCGAAAGAACGGTACTGAGTAGCAAAATATTAATGAAAAGAAAATCATCAAGATTGTATAAATTTGCATGCTTCGAATAGAATTTCCGATCAGACATCAGATAAAGTTCCATCAGAAAGTGAGAAAATATCATTACCCAGTGTCTTCATCTGGGCCTCTGTCGGTGAGTCTTGGGAAGAGCAGGGGGAGAGCCGACTGGGTAATAGTAAGACGATTAATAAGTTTGTACGGATACCATTCATCACTTGTACAAGCATTTGTATGTGTAAGGTAAGGAATGGCCCGAATTCTCATTCAATTTGAGATTACAGCAAGGCCAAGTGCATACACACACACACACACATGGCGGTTTCCGAGGAAGTAGGCTTCATATTTTTTGCGCTAGGCACTTTTTACATTTGCCTATCTTTGACTCTTTAGACAAGACTCATACACGTTTCGCTGAGTCAAGTTTAGAGTTGAACATCATCCAGTTCCCGATCTCTTATGGATCGTGTTCAATGTAAGATCATTTCCCCAACCAGTATACAGGCGGCAAGTGAATGACTATTCCGGCCCTTCAAATTTCTGGCTTGAGGTCATCTTTCAGACCCATTAAGTTGCTTTCCAGTTCACCTTTTCCACAGTCGTTATTGTTTCCACCACAGAATCCATAAACCGGTTTTTGAATGAATTGCTTTACATGCTCCATTTATACGTAGTGGTTCTTTGTTTATCATATAGTAACAAACCTGAGCGCGCTCGAACGTGTGGATTTCAGAGCTAGAGTTTGCAGACATCGTTGTATTAAGGAATCAACCCACTACTGGTACCTACGTCAATTAGTGTGGGTTTTTTGGAGTGAATATAACGCCATCGCCTACAGTGATTACACATTAAGGCGCAACACCCAATAAGCACTCAGACCTTCTCCTCGTCAATGTCAGAGCTGTCGATTGAGGGAACAGCTCAAACCATGGGCGAAAATGGTTAAATTGGACGTGAAGTGCATAAGCCTACACCCGGACTACCGAGTCAGATGGCGATACGATTGGTATCAACACCGACCTCGTCCTCAAAAGACGCGTATATAAATCTGCCATCTG